CAATGTAATGTTTATCTCTCGATCTGTTAAAGGAGAATCACAGTTAATAGGATTCATGGAAACAGCGTACCTATGGACTCTGTTCCACCTCCTCACACATTTATTCAGATGCATAAGAGGTGTAAGTATGTATATATATTCATTCAACAAGAAGTTACTGAAATACCTCCACACAGGCTGATATCCTGTCACCAAGTGACCCTTTATTTAGACATGAAGAGTCCTTGATACTGATCCAGCTTCCTCAGAGACAGTTCTCAGAGTGAACAGAACCTCTGACAACACAGTGTGGAGCTGGAGGAACACAGCAGGCCAGGCAGCATCGGAGGAGCAGGAAAGTTGGCGTTTCGGGTTAGGACCCTTCTTCAGAAATGGGGAGCTCAGAAATAAATGGAGAGAGGAGGGGTGGGGCTGGGGAAGGTGGGTGGGATGGTGATGAGTGCAGATAGGCAGTGGTGGGGATTGGTCAGTGAGGTGGGAGGGGTGGATAAGTAGGATACAGGATAGACAGGTTGTGTCAGGTCAAGGAGGTGAGGATGAGAAGGAGGGTTGAACAGGGGATGGAGCCAGGGGGCTGGGGAGATTTTAAGACTGGTGAATTCCATGTTTAGGCCATCGAGCTGTAGGCTCCCAAGACAGAATATGAGGTGCTGCTCCTCCAGTTTGCGGGTGGTGTCATTGTGACACTGGAGGAGGCCCAGGATGGACATGTCACCCAGGGAGTGGGAGGGGCAGTTAAAATGGTTGGTGACTGGAAGGTGTTGTCGTTTGTCATGTACAGAGCACAGGTGCTCTACAAAACGCTCTCCAAGTCTCCGCTTGGTCTCACCGATGTACAGGAGGCCACATCGGGAGCAGCGGATACAGCAGACCAAGTTGACGGATATGCAGGTGTATCCCTACCGGATTGAAAGATTTGCTTTGAGCCTCGAAAGGAGGTGAGGGGATAAGTGTAGGGGAAGGTGTAGCACTTCCTGCGGTTGCAGGGAAAGGTGCCGGGAGTGGTGGGGCTGGTGGGGAGTATGGAGCGGATGGGGGAGTCACGGAGAGAGCGGTCCCTATGAAAAGCAGATAGGGGTGGGGAGAGACATACCTCTTTGGTTGTGGGGTCAGATTGTTGGTGGCGGAAGTGGCGGAGAATGATACGTTGGATGTGGTGGTTGGTGGGGTGCTATGTGAGGACAACGGGGATTCTGTCTTTGTTTTTGTTGGGGGGAGGGAGTTTGAGGACATAAGTGTGGGAAATGCAAGAGATGTGGTTGAGGGCATTTTCGACCACTAGAGGAGGGGAGTTACAATCCTTGAAATAGGAGGACATCTGGGATGTCTGGGAGTAGGACGTTCCATCTTGGGACCATGTGTGGCAGAGGTGGAGGATTTGGGAGTAGGGGATTGCATTCTTGCAGGAAGGTGGGTGAGGAGAGGTGTAGTCTAGGTAGCTGTGGGAGTCGGTGGGCTTGAAATAGATGTCGGTTTTGAGGCAGTCACCAAAGAGGTTTAGGAAGGAGAGGTAGCAATCAGAGATGGTCCAGGTGAACTTTAGGTTGGGGCGAAAGATGTTAGTAAAGTTGATGAACTGTCCAAACTCCTCATGGGAGCACTAGGCAGCACCGATACAGTCATCAATGTAACGGAGGAAGAGGTGGGGTTTAGGGCCGGTGTAGGTACGGAAGAGGGATTGTTCCACATATCCTACAAAGAGGCAGGCATAGCTTGGGCCCATGCAGGTACTCATGGCCATCCTCTTAGTCTGTAGGATGTGGGAGGAGTTGAAGGAGAAGTTGTTAAGGGTAAGGACGAGTTCGGTTAGACAGGATAAGGGTGTTGGTGGAGGGGGACTGGTTGGGCCTGCGGGAGTGGAAGAAGCGGATGGGTTTTAGGCCATCTGCATGGGGATTGCAAGTATATAGGGAATGGACATCCATGGTGAAGATGAGGTGTTGGGGGCCAGGGAATCGGAAGTTTTGGAGGAGGTGGAGGGCGTGGGTGGTGTCCCGGACGTAGGTGGGGAGTTCCTAGACCGGGGGGAGAAAACAGAATCAACGTAAGCGGCGATAAGTTCAGTGGGGCAGGAGCAGGCAGAAACAATGGGTCGACCAGGGCAATCGGGTTTATGGATTTTGGGAAGGAGATAGAAATGAGCGGTACGGGGTTGGGGAACGATGAGTTTGGAGGCTGTGGGTGGGAGGTCTCCTGAGGTGATGAGGTTATGATGGTCTGGGATGCGATGGTTGGTGGTCAGTGTTGGGGTCATGATCAAGGGTGCTGTAGGAGGAGGTATCAGAGAGCTGGCATCTGGCCTTGGTGATGTAAAGGTCAGTGCGCCATACCACAACTGTGCCTCCCTTGTCCGCAGGTTTTATGGTGAGGTTAGGGTTGGAGTGGAGGGAGCGGTGGGCTGCACATTCTGTGGGGGAGAGGTTGGAGTGGGTGAGAGGGGTGGAGAGGTTGAGGCGATGTCGCGATGGAAGTTGGAGATGAAGAGGTCAAGGGAGGGTAGGAGGCCTTGGGGTGGTGTCCAGGAGGATGGGGTGTGTTGGAGGTGGGAGAAGGGGTCTGTAGAGGATGGGTTAGACTCGCAGTTAAAGAAATAGGCACAAAGGCGGAGGCAGCAGAAAAAACTGTTCAAAGTCCAGGCGTGAACGGTATTCATCGATGTGTGGGTGGAGGGGGATGAAGGTGAGTCCTTTACTGAGTACTGATTGCTCATCCTCAGTGAGGGGGAGGTCTGAGGTGGGGGTAAAGACCCAGCAGGGCTGGGAGCTGGGGTTGGGTGTTGGAGTGGAGACTGTCTCGGGAACGGAAGTGATGTCAGCTGCAGTGGAAGCGGTGTGGTTGGCGTAAGCAGAAGAGGCCGACGTGACCGCATGGTTAATGATGCCGGGCACATTGAGAGGGAGGTCCTGGGTAAGGTTGGGGACTGGGGGGAGGTGGGTGTGGAAGGTGCCTGTGCTTGGTGGTAAGCACAGGTAAGTTTAGTGTACTTCGGGTTTTTAATGTCAGATAGGGTGGAGAAAAAGCGTTGGTTGAGGGTGTGGATCCTGAGCAGAATGAAAAACAGAAGAGGTCCCATGCAGATAACCAGGTGTAGAGCTGGATGAACACAGCAGGCCAAGCAGCATCAGAGGAGCAGGAAGGCTGATGTTTCGGGCCTAGACCCTGGGAGAGGCAGGCTCTGAGCTGTGGTAAGGTTGGTTGCAGTGCCAGAAGATACCGGCACATTGCTGAGAATTGTACTTGAGGATCCGTAGAGGAAACTGTTTTTGGAGACTCTGAATGCTCTGTAGGTAGAGGTTCTTTTCTTGTAGCTCCTCCTGGGCTGTTTATAGCACTGAGTCAGGTTTTTCCAACTCTGCCTCTGATACAGGTGAAGTGTAACACACAGTAGCTCACCTCTTGTGCCCGGAGCATCACAGAAGAAATTTATTGTCCTCTTCAGGCAGCAAAGGCATCGAGACAGTGACATCTGCCACAGATTCCATGGTATGTTCAACGCCTGATGGAGAGGGAGACCCCATGGGTTCCCAAACAGTCAGAAAGGCAGTTGAAGAGATGGGCACATTTTGCTCCTGCACCATTTGAAAGTTTGCAGCTTTCATGTGGTCCACACGCTTGTTCAGGACCATCACACCTACTCAAACTTTATACATCACAGCACCTGACCTCATGTTGACCATGCCTGTTACCTGTGTAGCACCATTCCTGTGGTTCCTACACCAAACTCTGTCCCCTCAAGTAAACAGTCTCTCTTGCTTAGTCAAGTCTTGTGTCCGACCTTGGCATTCCTGATGCCATTTCACCCTACCCCAAAGTCCAGGAAGATCAGATTTAACTTGGTGTGGAGTCTTCTCCCATTAGTGACTCTGCAGGAGCTATCCCTGTAGTTGCACGAGGCCTGGTCCTAAAATTAAATTGGAACTGGGATATTTTGGTATCTGGTGAGGCTGTAAGCTGTTTCTTTTAGCCTGCAAAGTTTGGACTGCTTTTTCTGCCAGATCATTGGATGATGAATGGTATGGAGCTATCGTTATATGACGAATATCATTCAACTTTAGGAAATACTCAAGTTCCCTGTTGGTAAACGGTGGTCTGTTATCTGTGACCATCGCTTCCATTAATCCATGTTTTGTAAAAGATGCATGCTTTTTTTTAATTGTCATCCCAGTGTTTGACAAATGAACTCTATGCACATCAAGCCACTTTGAGTGGGCGTCCACAATGATTAAGAGCATTGAGCCAATGAAAGGACCTGCATAGTCAAGATGTAACTAATTCCAGGGTTTACCCAGCCATTCCCACAAATATGGGGGAGCATCTGGTGGTAATTTTTGTCCTTGTTGGCACTGCAGGCACTGGCCTACCAAAGCAGCTATGTCTGCATCCAATCCTCGCCACCAGACATAACATCTCATCAACATCTTCATTTTGGAAACCCCTGGATGACCCTGGTGGAGTTCAGCCGGTACCCGGTGCTGCCTGTTGCTCAGGACAATCACTCTTACTCCCCAAAGTCTGGTATTGGTCAGCTGCGACTGGAAGTGTGCCTGGAAAGTTTAAAACCAGAGCGGGCTGTTCCTGTGGTGGTACCACTCGGGGATGGCTCAATGCATCCGCATTTGCCACCTGGTCTCCCAGACGATGTTGTAATTATACACACAATATAATTAAGCCAAACACTGAATTCGGCCTGAAGCTATGGGCAGCACAGCCTTCTCCTCTTTATGTTAGCAGAGGTTTGTGGTCCGTTATTATTACAAATTTACATCCATACAGGTATTGCTGGAGCTTCTTGACTCCAAATATCACCACCAAACCTTACTGCTCTATTGGGGTGTACAGGGAGGCATCATATGTCAATACTAGATCTCACTTGGGATCATAATTTGCCAACACA